ATCTATACCAACACGAATTTAGATTAACAACTTCCTTTAAACAAGACCATATCTGATTTTTGCAAGCAGTGCATTACCTGAACTTGAAAATCAGAGGCGCTCAATTTAAATGTGCATTTATCGAACACCTGCTGTGCGTGACATATGCAATCTTGATCTCATGCTCACGGCAGTCAGCTCAATGTGGTTGTTATTACCTCCATTTGACAGATAAGCAAACAGGCTCAGAGAGGTTAATGGCTCATGTAACACGTGTGACTCAGTAGAAACCTGAGAATTCAAATTCACTCGGGATGCCAGAGTTCAAGTTTACTGAATTTCTTAGTCACCTCTAAGAAGCACGCCGAAAAATAAAATTCATAAAGTGGTAAGAACATCCACAATTTCCATCTTTTCTTTACATCAGTGAAAATGGTTAACTTTAGGATGCTTTTCCAAAGTCAACATGGAATTCAAATTGTCTTCCTAATTAAAATGAAGCAGTATAAAAATCCAATGGGCAACTCCTCAGCCTGTTATCCACAGGTATGACATCAAGAATAACACTAACTAAAACAGTAGGACCCTTTTCCCCTCAGAGGGAGAAAAGGTTTCCGGAAGCAGACTGAGGAAATGGACAGAGCACAGGGCTGCTATCGCAGAGAGTGATATTATAAGCAGTGACCATGACTGGCTGCCTCAGAAAACCACCGGCAAGTTGGCGCTGGAGGATTTGCACGTGCAAACGATAAGACGCACATGTCCGTGTGCAATCTTGATTCCATTCACTCTATTGGGCCTTTATTCTTTCACAAAATAAAGATGTTTAGCCAAAATAGGATTCATTGTAACTAGGAAGACTGAGAACCCAAATCGTGGACTTGGGGACCTTAGCAATGGAATTTCACTCCATCTAATTTAATTGTATCATTACCTAGAAATCTGCATTTATTTTGTACATTCCATGTCCAGACAGTGTAATATGCAGCCAAAATTATACATTTAATACACAAGAGCTTTCTGATGCAACTTTTAAACCATACGAACACACAACCCAATAGGAGCATTATTTCCCCCTAAAATCTCATTTAAGTATGATTTTTGCTGAGATTTCTTTTTCTGTATGTTACGGAGAAAAGTCTTGATTTTCAGCTTCTGGCTGGAAGCAGCATTTCCCATCTAACATGACATATTGCAACAAATCTCTCCTGATAAGACCTCCAAAGAGGAATCTGGCAACTACTGTAAGGTCAGCTGCACATCCCCTGGTTCTGAAGTGTAGCCACCACAATTCATAAAGTGCTTGGCCAGCCTGTATTTATTCCCAGGAAGTTAATCCACATTAATCCCACAACAAGCAGAACAAACACCTCCCCTCGGAGGGTCTATTGTGCTGGGGCTTCGCATAACATGACTTTAAATTCACAAGAAATTCTCATTTGTTGAATTCTAATTTGTTGGTATTATTCCCATCCCAGAGATGAGAAAATTGAGGGCCAGGAAGATGAAAGGTAGTGCCCAAAGCACACGGCTGTTACATTAGAGGAAGATATTAGAAAAGGTAATCAAAACCAGCAAAACCCAGCAGCTCTCTGAGCCTGGGGTCCTCAGCAGAATTGCACTGAACAACGACCTGTTCTCAAATCTTCCTCGGTGGGCACAACTTCCGTCCTGAAGGAAGTTCATGAAGTTAAGTTTCCAGGTCTACCATGGCCATAACTCTTTCATCAGTCCACAAACAAGTTGCCTAAAATGCAGAGCCCACTCTGGACTGCCAAACCAAAGGGAACAAATCCCAGTCTGGGTGACGTGTCCCTAAGTGTACTGATGAAGTGATTCACCAGCGTGATAAAGGATGACATCTTCAGATGCTCCAACATCTCCAGATTTGAGAAACATGTTTAAGTGGAGGTGGGTGGGAGCACACATTTCAGTGCACAATTTTAAACACATTCATATTCTCTCTCTCCCTCTCTCCTTACCCCCAGCCCCTTCCCTTCTCCTCCCTTCTTTCTCAGTCAGCTTTGCGTGTGGGTGTGAATGTGGAGGATATTGAAGGGGGCGGACAATGTGAAGGAGAGGAATGCACTTTGAGGTCCAATTGGAGTAGCAATGAAGAAATGTTGATGTAGAAAGAAAAGAAAGAAAGAAAGGAAGGAAGGAAGGAAGGAAGGAAGAAAGGAAGGAAGGAAGGAAGAAAGGAAGAAAGGAAGAAAGGAAGAAAGAAGAAGAAGAAGAAGAAGAAGAAGAAGAAGAAGAAGAAGGAAAGAAAGAAAGAAAGAAAGAAAGAAAGAAAGGAAGAAAGAAAGAAAGAAAGAAAAAGAAGCCCTTCCTTGATTGGAAGAGCCAAGCTGATTGCAAGGCTGGGTTTCCCACGTGAAGCCCAGAGCTGAACTATGCAGTCAGAACCCTCAAAGTACATTTTTTTTTCTTTTCTCTCTTTTATCAGTTGTGTTAAGTTGCAGCTGAGCAGGAACTTAATATAACTTGAGTCAATCTATGACCACAAGTGATGACTCAACTGTGGTCAAGTAAAAACACAATAAACAAGTTCAGAATCTGCAAGGAATTAGCAGATATGCAGAAGCCTACAGGGAGCTTGGGGGATAAAAACAAACAAACAAAAAAAAAAACAAGAGCAAACCTGGCATGATTATTTTCATAGGTCAGTCAATTTATTGCCTGATCTGTGGGTCCCGACAGGAAACATGTGCCCAGAAAAATAAATTAGAGAAGTGCTCAGCTGTAGGCTACTTTAGTTAAGGGGTAATGAAATGGATAAGCAGAGATGATGTGAGTGAAACAACAGACTCAGATGCTTTTTAGCTGGGTGTTTCTGGTTTCTGTTATCATTCTCTCATGTAAATCTAACTCCATCATTCTTTAACGACCCTCTAGGGACCACCACTCACGGCATTAAATGTGCCCAACAGCACGAAGAGACCCACGAGATCGCTGCCTTTCATCTCCTTTGGGATATGCCAGAGTTGTGAATCTTTTCCTTTTTTTTTTAAATAGTATTGAAGTTTGGGTTATCTGAGTTCTTCTATTAAAGAAAAAAGAAAAAAAGACTAAGAAAAGAGACGCATTTGGAGATGGGTTATCCTTGAGGTCCAAAGTGTCAAGAGTTTATATCAAGTTCTCAGGATAAGTAACTTCCTTGACCCTTATAGATAAACATGGCAGCTGTGGGGAGAGGAGTCATTCCATGAATGGCTGGTTCCTGTCCAGTTTAGATCCCAAACTGACTTCTGTCTGCTCTTTGGAGGCCTGTGTGAGTCCCCTGTCTTGTGTGATTTGGCCATTAACCAAAGAATTATGGCTTCTCCAGGCCTCAGTTTCCTTTTTGTATTGGCATGAGATCTCTGGGGAGTCTTCTGGCTCTAAAGTTATATGAGTCTATAAGTCTGATAGAAGGCCCTGGAGAGGAATACAGATGCCTGAAGATGGAAAGTTCTGCTAAAAAATAAAAATAAAGAAAAGCCAGCTCCATGACCCTAGCAGCTATAGGGGAAGAAAGAGATGGAAAGAGGGGTGATTTCAGAGGCCCCACGGCCCTCTAAACATTTTCAACCTTTTTAAAATTTTTCTTTATTGGCCACTTTCCCCCAAGCAAGGCTGGCACAGGAGAAACACTGGTGCTCAACGCGCAGACCTTTATCTAAGTTACCACAGGACACTAGATTTCTGCCTTTTTTTTTAAAGAGCCCTGAACTGGTCATGTTGGGATGGTTTTTGGCAAAACTGAAGCCGGCTAACAGCCCAAGCCAACTATACAATCCATGCACAGCCTCTC